AAAAACGGAAAAGACGTAAAACCCGTATAGAATACAAAAATTAACAAATGAAGAAATTGAAATATCTGACCCAGCAAATGCTTTAAATAATTATTTTGTTGAATTAGCACCGAATTTACTGAAGCTCATTCCACGGAATTCTCACTGGAAGAATTACTTCAAGACATTTGTTTCCAACTCGTTTTTTTGTAGATACGCAACGGCTGATGAGATCATTGCAACAACAAAATCTTTGAAACAAAAAACATCAAGTGGCTACGATGACATACCAACAAAAATTGTCGTCTCTACGATTCATTCTACTGTGTTTGTTCTAGAATATTTGATAAATCTATCTTTTGAAAAGGGCAAATTTCCAAGCTGTCTCAAAATCGCCAAGGTAATTCCTATTGAAAAAATTAAAGGAAAAACAGATTTATCAAATTTTCGCCCTATATCACTCTTGCCAGCATTTTCAAAAATACTTGAAAAACTAATGCACCGACGAATGACTAGTTTTTTGCAAAAAAATAATATTTTGTCAAATTACCAATTTGGTTTCAGAGAGAAATTTTCTACAGAATTAGCAATCGTAGAACTAGTTCGCAAGATTGGTATCAATACTGAATGTAAGAGATTTGTCATTGGAACGTGCTTAGATCTGTCGAAAGCATTTGATTGCATCAACCACGACATCATGCTCAACAAGTTGGAAAAGTACGGTTTTAGAAATACATCACTGCATTGGTTTCGTAGCTACTTAACAGAAAGAAAACAATTTGTCTATGTGAACGATGAAATTTCCAGTCTGCTCGGAAACAACAACGGTGTGCCTCAAGGAAGCATCCTAGGTCCTTTGTTATTTATATTGTACATAAACGATCTTCCAGCTGCATCAGCGTTTTTTGACTACGTAATTTATGCTGATGACACGAATGTTTTTAGCAGCGGCAGATCAATGAAAGAACTTATTGAGGAAACAAACAGAGAGTTAAAAAACATAATCTCTTGGTTCGAAGCCAATAAACTTTCAATTAACAGTCCAAAAAGCCAAATGATGGTTTTTGGACCCGTACAATATCTAAATTACAAGGAGCCGTATAAAATCATCCTAGGTAACAACACAATTGTTGAAACAAAGTGTTTAAAACTTCTAGGCATGCAGCTCGATCAGAAACTCTCCTTCAAACATCACATAAAACAAGTATCATCCAAACTTTCAAAGTCAATAGGAATGATAAACAGAGTAAAATCATTTTTGCCAAAAAACTGTTTGAATCTTCTGTATAATTCCCTGTGCATTCCGTTAATAAACTACTGCAACATTGTATGGGCTTCATCGTACCACACATCAACCTTACCAATAGAAATATTAATCAAAAGAGCAGTTAGATTGATAACGAGATCCAAACGATTTGAACACAGCCAACCACTGTTCAACAGCACGCGAAACTTGAATTTCTCGAAACTCAGCATTCTGATGATTTTTGTTTATAAACAGTTAACCAATCGATTACCTGATTTATTTAACAGTTATTTCAAGATGAAACAACAATGTCGGCAACAAAATAATCTTGTCTCTAACAAATCGAAAACGAATATTTTGTTTTCTCACGTGTATTGCAAGGGACCAAGAATCTGGAACGAAATTTTAAACAGTGGATTTAATTTTGAATTTATTTCGTTAAACAATTTTTAAAAAAAGTTAAAAGAATATTTACTTAAGTTTAAAACATAAATTTTTTGTTTCTGAAATTACGTTTAAATTCTGTTGAAAATTTATAACATTTTAAAAATTATGCCAAGGTGGTCACACTCGATGAGTTTCTGAAAAGAACTCTACTGTGGTCATCCTGTCTTCTTCCTATTGATATAAAGGGGAGAGAATTCTTTTTTTTCTCTTTTTTTTAGATTAATTTTGAGAAGCAAATAAAAATTCGTTTCGTTTCGTTTCGTTTCGTATGTATGTATGTATGTATGTATGTATGTATGTATGTATGTATGTATGTATGTATGTATGTATGTATGTATGTATGTATGTATGTATGTATGTATGTATGTATGTACGTTATCGTACGTATGACGTGCAGCACGGTGTGGTAGGCAGACTTTCGTCGGGGAAAGATTTATTGCACTCATTCACTTGAGTAATTTTAAATTGGAAAAAATTAAATGTTTTAGAACTACGTAAATTAAAGAATAAAAATCCAACAATTAAGACGAGTCAGACGATGAAAAGATTTAAAAACAAGAGGCGCACCGTGGCATGAGTTTTCTTTTTTGTTTTAATGAAATTTTTGTGACTGAAACTGATTTTTGAAAATATTTTTGCATTATCTAACACAAAAAATTAAAAAAATTGCGTCGAAATATGTGTGAACGTGAACAAATGCTTTCACATTGCAAACAGCAAGCACACACACATTGTAGCGACCGACCGACAGGGGGCGCAAGGACAATTAATTTGAATTAAAGAGCAATTATTTAAAATTTATGCTCAAGTCCCATAGGCAGCTTTCAACTTTTATCGATTGCATCTAAATTGCCTCCGAATCACTTCTAGTGCCAGACATCAAATGTATCGACTGAGCAATAAAACTCTCCAGGGCAACTTTAATTTGGTGCTCTGTGCCACATTCATCTTAATTCATTAATTCAAATGCTAATGATTTATTCTCCTTACATTCTCTGTGTTAGCATTGCTTGCAAATTAATTATAATAAAAGTATTTCAATGAAATCTATAGTTAGTTTGATGGGATTGCAGGGCTGATGTATTTAGAGCATCAGAGTACACAAAGTTTTTTAAAAAAAACATTTTAACAAGCAAATATATTTTTCAATAAGCTCCATATAATTTATCTTTGCTTTTCGTTAATTGTCACATTTTATGTCAACAAACTTCAGTTGCTGCTCATTGCAGACAGACAAACAAATTAAATAAAATATTGAACTAGAAATGATTTAAAAGTCTGAAAAATTACATTCATTTCGTCTGCAAAATTTAATTAGGTGTTAAATTCATTCATTCGGGGGCGTGCTCGTTGGCTTGTTATGTTTTGAATGTTTCATAAATTAGCAGCATAATTTTTTAAATGAAGAGCCAACGGCGACGAGGCCGAAGTACGTGCCATCAATGTTGCCAGAATGCAAGTAGTTTTAATTCAGTTAAAATCAATCAAGCATTTATCTCATCAGCTTGAGACCAGTTGAATATCCATTAGTTTAACAGACACGAAAGGAAGTATAACAATTCCTACTATTATCAAAAATTGTTTGTAGCTAATTAAACAATACTTAATATTACGAAAACTTGTTTAACTGAATGTTTGATGTGTACCAATGCTTTAAAAAATGATTAAATATCGGTTGGAATTACAGTTTTATTTTAATTTTAAATGTCCGCCATAATGGTGTTGAAACAATTTGAGGTTGGCCTTGTTCATTGACTTCTTGCCAAACATACAGCCGAAAACACTGGCAGACGTGCAAAATAACACATACACACCACACGCACGCACACACACATAAATATATATATGTATATATATATATATATATATAGATATATTAATACACACACTCACACACGTTAACCGTTTGCGCACGATGGGTGAGGTGGATATCTGACAAGCTTCAGCACTCGCTAGCTACGCCACTGTATGAGCTTCTTATAAACGAAGATAAGAGGAAGAGTTGCGCGTCTCTTCTCACTGCAATAAAATTTAAACTGCTGTGTCTGCATGCGTAAATAATAATTCATTGTGCGTAAGCCTTCTGTCTCTGGCCTTACAATTTATAATGCACTCGAAACTGTGATACTGACTCATGAAAGTACATGTGAATGTTTTTGGAGAGGAATAGAAAGTGGTCCGTGTGTGGTGTGTGTATGTGCGTGTGGTGCAGTGTGTGTGTGTGTATGTGGTATGTGTATGTGTTTTAAAAAAACTTTGCATCAGTGGAAATACGAAACAAACGATCTATTTATTTGTTGAAACTGCCAGGAACATCGTAAAAAATTGTGAATATATTTTTTTCATAACAAGATTTGATTTCATTAAACCGTTGCTGATAATTTAAAAATTATGGCAACCACGTTCATAAGTGAAACAATTGGACATCGTTATAAGTTTATTTAAAAGGTTATACAGACGTGTTGCTAATTGTATTTTTAAACTTGTATCTCAAATTATTTAATTAAGTTGAACACACAATTATCTGAAGTTTTATATTCAATTCTTCTTCGGAAATGAATTGAACAATATTGATTAGACACACTAAGCCCCCGATTTTTACTAGCTCTGGTAGATTTAATCAGCTGAATTAATTTGTTATTATATTTACTCAGTTTAATTACAATTTTATTTTATTTTATTTATTGACAAGCAACTTATCAGTGAAATTATGAAATTAGCAGAGAATGATGGGTGGTTGAAATGTCAATTTAACCTACCGGTATTGTTATAACTGAAAAATTTATATCAATTGTTGCTATTCGGGTGCGAAAATTGCCCGCCAGTTGACGTGATACATCAGTTGTTGGCACTCGCACCGAAGCTCCGTCGGACGGTTTGCTTTGCTCGGAGGCACGTTAGCTGCCTGCTTGAAGTGCCTTGTGAAATAATGCTATAGCATCTAATGTTTATAATTTATTAACGGCTACAAAATAGAAACATCAACAGTTGTCGTAGTGGTTAATAATAGCAGTTGTTGTGTATTGTTGCAATGAGTTTGCATTAAACCTCTAATGAGTTGATTTCAGAAGCTAAGTAGTAGTAGTAGTAGTAGTAGTAGTAGTAGTAGTAGTAGTAGTAGTAGTAGTAGTAGTAGCAGCAGTAATAGTGTTAAAAGTAGAAGTGATAGTAGTAGTAGTAGTAGTAGAAGTAGTAGTAGTAGTAGTAGTGGTGGTGGTGGTGGTAGAAGGAAGTAGGGGTTGTAGAAGGAAGTAGTATGTTTAGCGGTAGATGACCGACAACAACTACACCGCCGCTGTCGTTGTAATGAAGCTGGCAGTGATGATCTGCCTGGTGGAATCGTGGAATCAACCGTCGTTTTGTAGAGTCTTACATTGAACGATTAGAATATAATTAAAATTCACGTAAATTTTGTTTTTATAAACTATGCTAACCAAGCAATGAGACAATAATATACTAGTTGGGTTGGTTTGCTTGGTAGAATGAAAGAGTGACAACACTGACTGAAACGTCAGATAGAATCACCGAAAGAAAATAATCACAATGACAGCACCAACAATATAAACAACAATAGCAAGAATATTAACAATTGCTCTGGTATTGCACTTGCTGATATAATAACGGCCACTATAAGATTAGTTCAACAACAGTTGAATGAACAGCAAACCTGGATTCCAGTCTTTCTTAACGTTCTATCTTATACGGTAGCTGTATAATTAATAACATTCAAGACTACGAGCAAACTATACATTTATGCATGTATGAAAGTTAAAATTTGTCAAGAGATATTAACAACTATGTATATATGTATATATATATTGGATTAAGACTATATATATATATATATATATATATATATATATATATATATAATTTGGTATGAGGTTCTCAGATAAACATGTACGGTTGAAGATTACACCCCATTTTGCAGTAAGAAGTTTTTTAAATAAAATTTCACCAACACGAAGCTGTTTTGTTTCAACTTTATTAAACTGTGAAGTTTGGCTGACGGCCGTTTCGGCTAATGCCATCGTCGGAGCCTAGATTGTAAAACCAAATGAGGAGTTAATAATATAAATTATAAGAAATAGTAAATAGAATATTAGATATTAAAATGAATAAATAAATGAATAACAACCTATATTTTAAAATTAACTCATTATATTGTTGAAAATAAAATAAACGAATAAATTTAAAAGAAAAATTATGAAAAAAATTGTTTTTGTATTATCGTAGTTGAAGTGTAGAAAGTTAGCATAGTGACAAGAAGTAATGCAGAAATTATGGGAAGTCGATAATAATATTTAATGATATGACAATTTATTGAAGAATTATTAGATATTTAACAATTGGATATAATATTATTTAGCAATAAATATGTATAAAGAAATATTAAGGCGTGGCAAATAATGAAGTTAGTGAACAAATTGTTTGAGTTTTATGGCGTGAAGAGACAAACGGATTGTTGTTAATGGTGCGTTCTTGTGTGTTATATTCGTATTTATATTTGGTGTGTAGTTGCTGGTTATTGATGACGTTTGGCAATTGAGGCAGTACAATGTCGCGATATTAAGTAAAAAGTTGTAAGACGTGGGCGAAATTGTCTGACTGCGTGTTGATTGTTGGTTTATTATTGAGGATGAGTCTTTATTTTGAGTCTTGAGGGACGACGTTCATTACAAAGTATGCTAGTGTTATTATCAAGAATTTTTCGAGTAACTGGTATGTTGTGCTGCTTATTGAAGTGATCCTTGATAGCGCCTTGCTGTACGTGCATGGTAAGAAACGGCCGTCAGCCAAACTTCACAGTTTAATAAAGTTGAAACAAAACAGCTTCGTGTTGTTGAAATTTTATTTAAAAAACTTCTAACTGCAAAATGGGGTGTAATCTTCAACCGTATATATATATATATATATATATATATATATATATATATATATTTATATGTACTGTGTCTCTACAATGTTAATTCTTTAATGTGAAAACTTAACGGTACTTTAACGAAACTTTAAATCAACTACCAATAATAACATAGTAATATATTATAAGAACCACATGGCAACTGCTTTCAAACAGGACAAAAAAATTATGAAAAGTGTCATCAAAAATAACGTCCAAGCAACCAACGAAAACAATAGTATTGAACTACGAATATACTACTCCAACCAAAGAACGTCATCTCTTGTGATGAAAAACAACTTCACTAGTAAACCAGAATCGATAATGAATCATAGTCATTTAATATATTCGTTCAAATGTAATAATGGTGAGTGCGGGCACGACGGCATGACGAGAACAAAGCTATCGAGAACACTCACGATGCACGCACAAACTGGCGCTATAAAGAATCGCATGAAAGAGAAACACAAAACTAAAATTACTAGACAAATCTTGGACAACAATATTGAAATCTTACATTACAATAACAACCATTATAATTTACGACTAGCCGAGACAATACTCAGAGAACAAAGACATCCGATAATAAATATTCAACAACGGGCAATTGGAATCCTTACCACTAATAAATTCAGAAACAGAGGAATCATCGATAATGAAAACACCTAAAAGTGTTATATTGCACAAAGTTGAAGATCGTAATAACTAGTTGAATGATCGTTAAGTATTCACATTCAACAAACAAAGAATTAACAAAGTATAGACACTATATATATATATATATATATAGTGTCTATATATATACACAGAATATCATGCATACACAGAATGGTGCCATTAAGGACCATATGGAACGGGTACATCATCAACCGCTTACGAGGAACATATTGGATCCCAACACAACGATCCTTGATTATGAACCCGATCCAGTTCGCCTTAAAATTAAAGAAGCCCTTCATATCAACAAGCATAAACCCTCACTCAATAAACAATATAACAGCTTTGATCACACTTTGCAATTGTTTTCTCAATATCACGATCTCACACCTACTGTTGCCGTTGGGGTTGATCCACAGGATCTGCGTGTACCACAACGATATGAATATCATCCTACGTTGAATACATTTCAACCCATCAACACGCAGTTTGTGACCCAGCGTCATCCGACAACCGTCATCGCGTCGTTGGATGTATTATGTGATACCTAATACTTGATCTATACATAGATATGTATCTTGCATGTACATATATGTATTTATATTTAACTATGTATCCGTAGGTCTGATGTGGAAACTCGTATCACACATATTCAACCGCAATAGTTGTATTCACAACGCATACACAGCAATATTATATATCTGGCGCACATGTCATTCGTAATTAGTTTTCACTAACGTTTTCTCAACCATGTTAAAACTTTTATAAAATTTCTATATTTTAATTATTTTACTAAACATTTTATTTAAATTACATTATTTTATTTATATAATCTACATAAACTTTAGTTATTATGATATTTACAACAAGGTTAATTTATTTCACAATTTAATACATATTTTATTTTCTATATTTTCACATTTTACATTAGGCATTTACTTTAATTAAATTATATGTTTAAACAATATTTAGGCTCTGAAGATGGCATTACGCCGAAACAGCGCTGTTAGCTTTATTCCAGTTTTAGATAAATATGAACTCAAACAATACCGCCTCGTTGAATGTCTTATAAAGAAGTTAATTAATGCAAAATGGGCAAACAATTTCAATGAAATTTGCATTTCTGAAAACCTCGTTCCTAAATATATATATATATATATATATATATATATACTGTGTCTGTATATATATATATATATACTATATATATACTATATATATACTATATATAGTATAGACACAGTGTATATATATGTATATATATATATACATATATATATATATACATGAGCATTCGGCCACATACACAACGTATCAATTCGAACATAGGAATACCGAAAAAAGCTTCATTGTTCTATCATGTTTAAAACAAATAAAAATTTTGGTTTTGAACTCAAGAAATTTGACAATGATTTACGATCTACCGTTAGAAAAATTAAACAGGGAGCTAACTAACCTGGAACATGCTGTGATTTTCAACAATATTATATGTCTATATAAATAAATAAATATATATATATATATATATATGCGTGTGTGTGTGTGTGTGTGTGTGTGTGTGTGTGTACGTAAGTTTGTTTGCGCGTGTGCGTGTGTATGTAAATATAAGTGCAAACCAAAATAGTTAAAATTTTTATGTAATCTGAATAAATTAGTACTAATGATAAAATAATTGATTGCAAAATCGAGAAAAATATTAATTCAAAACTTATTATTCATGTGAACGCGTTGATATGTTGATTTTTTTTACTAACTAACTTTATATATATATATCACTTAATATAGCATTGTAATTTTTAGCATCAGAATTTTTTTATTATTTTCAAAGCTTGTTATTACTTTTGCATTAATTGACTTCAATTACTAACTTTCAAGACTACGAACTAATACATACATTTATGCGTGTTAATAAAATTTGTCATATTAAAAAATAATATCTTTTTAAGATTAAAAAACAAGCAGTTGAAAAAACAATAGGCGGTTCATGTCTGTCCAACATTGCTTTATCAATGTAAAGTTCAATCTTTTGTTCAAATTCAAATGTCTTAACAACCAAAATGAATGTATTTTCATTTACAATTATAATGGAATAGATAGGATGAGGTCTTAGTTTAAAAATATTGTCAGCAGATTTACGAGGCACTTATAATTATTAATCAGTTTATTTACAAGTTAATATCATGCTACGTACATAGTTACAGAAAATAATACAAATTGAAGCTAATAATGGTAGTTTCATAAAATTTTCATTGCAGACACAGACAAACAAACATACACACACAAACACACACACAAGCAAGCACTTGAATTTGGACAATAGAGTGGACCTTATATTGATGAAGAAATGTTGGATAGACATGGATCGCCTACTGATTTTTCAACTGCTTGTTTTTTATTCTTAAAGATATATTATTTTTCAAAATTTTGTGTTTTTTAATATTCTTCTATTTGTAATATGCGTATAAATGTGTGCTTTGTTGATGTTGCGTTGATTGCTTGTGCTGTGTTGCAGGTGCTCGCAGTGTTATTAAACGAGAAAGTGTTTATGTGTTTCGCTGGTTTGCATCAACAACATTCAATTAGGTCAATATGTCTGGCGACCAATCATTTTAAAGTATAACACGGTGCAGGTTATCTTACATTCATTCGTTCGTCCATTCATTTTTTCATCCATTCTTATTTTTGCACTTCTAATTATTCAATTATATATATATATATTTATTTTTTCTTTCATTCTTTTATTCGTTCGTTCGTTTGTTAATTTATTCGTTTAATCATTCATATATTTTTACAATCAGTTTCGTTTGTTTACGACCCAGCTAGTTATTTATATATATATATATATATATATATATATATATATATATATATTATTATTATTATTAAAGATCATTTATATAGCGCTAATTAAAAAAAGAAAAGAAAAATCTCAAAAGCGCTCACATCAGTAAAACATTATACGAGTGGATAAACAAAACAAAAAATGTACCAAAAATTTTAAACTAAAGAAAATAAATGAGTTTTTAAATCCTTTTTAAAATTGTCAAGAGAAACTCCTGGTATTCTCAGTGGATCTGGCAATGCATTCCAAATCATCGGTCCGGCAACAGCAATATCACGCAATCCCGTCTGCAAACGATGAGCTGGTACCATCAAAAGGTTCCTATCATCTGATCTTAAACTGGTGTTCGTGGAGGTTGTTTTCTTGACAAACCGATCGGACATATAATCTGGAGCCAAGCCATTTAATGATTTAAATGTTATTAATGCTATTTTATAGACTATCCTTTTATTGATTGATAACCAGTGAAGTTGATTCAATATCGGCGTAACATGATCAAACTTTAGTCTGCCTGTCACCAGTTTAGCCGCACGATTCTGAACTGATTGCAGAATAGCTATTGATGTCTGGGGTAGTTTGTAAAACAAGCTATTACAATAATCAAGGCGGGACGTTATAAGAGCATGTACCAATGTTTCTATATCAGCCCTGTCTAAATATCGTCTGACTCTGTACAAGCCTCTAAGATGAGCCAAACTAGAAACTGATATGTTTTTGATATGCTCTTTCATTGTAAGATGAGAATCAAACAAAACTCCCAAATTTGATGCGGTTTTGCAAAAGTTATTTCAAAATTTTTTACTTTTACAGAGTGAACATCTAGTTTTGATAGCTGCTGCCACGTGCCAACCGGGAGCAACTGGGTTTTGCACTGATTCAATCTAAGAGAATTTCTTGACATCCAGCGTTCTACGTCCATCAAACATGTAACAAATCTATCTATTTCACGCTGAAACACTTGGGGCCGGCATGTTACAATCACCTGAACATCATCAGCAAACGCATGATAGTTCAATCCATGTGAATTTATTATCTTGGCTAAGTCCGAAGTGTATAGCAAAAACAGAATGGGTCCTAACACCGAACCTTGAGGGACCCCAGAAGATACCACGCTTATTTCTGATGAAACATCCTTAAACTGAACTTGCTGAGTTCGGTCTAGTAAGTAAGACTGGAACCATGCAGATGCCGAATCACAAAATCCAAAATTATAATATAACTTCTTCAACAATATACTGTGATTGACGCAATCAAATGCCGCTGTCATATCCAGGAATGACAACAGTGAAATATTCTGGGCATCCATTCCTGAAATCAGTTTGGAAAAAACATGTAACAGCGCCGTCTCTGTCGAATGAAATCACCTGTAGCCTGATTGGTGAATTGGCATAAGGCCGTTTTTTGTTAAATGAGTCAACAGACTTTCAGCAACAACACGCTCAATAATCTTTGAAATAAATGAAAGATTCGATATTGGCCTATAGTTTGAAATATCATTACCATCCAAATTATTTTTTTCAAAATTGGTTTAATCACGGCATGCTTCCGACCACAAGGAAACTGTCCTGATTCCAGACATAAATTAACAAAACTGGTTAGGTAACTGATAAACAAGTCAATATGTTTTTTTTAAAATGTGTGTTGGAATTATATCAAGAACACTTGTTTTTGATGGTGAACCATTTATAATCCTTTTGAGATCAGTCTGAGTAATTTTTGGCAACGATGAAAGGCAGTTGATATTTGACCTATTGTCATCAAGTGATGGATCACAATCAACATCTGTGGTACGAATAATTTTATTTGTTTTATCAACAAAAAACGCATGAATTCAGAAGGAGTCAGGTTTAGATCAACATCAGAATTGATATTATTCTTGTCTCCGCATAGGATTCTGTTAGCTGCCTGCCAAAATTCTTTAGAATTGTTGATGTTCTTAAATTGATTTTTTAAAAAATGTGTACGCTTATCAGAAAAAAGCGCATTTTTTTGCCTCAATGAATTCACCCAGTTATTACGACTTGTAGCTGATGAACATTTTCTATAATGTCTTTCAAGTTTCCTGCACACTCTTTTTGCACGCAAACAATCCGCATCAAACCATGGTGCAGCATGATTACATTTGATATGAATCTCCCGGAGTGGAACTAATTTGTCAACTATACTTTTTAGTTCATTCTCAAACAACATCAGTTCAGCTTCAACATCACTCCCCTGACATGTACCTGCAATAGCCGATTTTAAGATGCTTTCTTTGAACTGATCTTCATCTAGATCTTTCCATGATCGAGCCAATTTCTTTACAAAATTACCGCATGATCGAGGAATCGTTATTTTTGCTACTATACAACCATGGTCGGAGTATACTTCACTGGGATGAATCGATATCTCAGCAACAGGAAAACTACGGGAGCTGACAATAAGGTCCAGTGTACCACCATGAGAATGAGTTTTGCCTTTCACATGGTTGACCAGATCAAACATATCAAATATTTCTAACAAACGTATTGTATGAGGGTCATCCATTCTCTCCACATGAACATTAAAGTCACCCATCAAGATAATATTCATCATTGTAATGTGTTCTAATACTGATATAAGTTCGTTAAAAAATGACGTAAATATTTGTGCTGAACCAGGTCTGTATATGGATAGCAATATGAAATTATATCGTTCTATTTTTAACTTTATTGCAATGGCCTCAAAAGTAGTGAACACCGGCAGAGTTATTTTATTACAACCAAAAGTGGATCGGAAATAAATAACCAATCCCCCGTGTGCAGGATCATGCGGTCTTACAAAATCGACAAAGGAGAAACCAGGTGGCTTGGCCAACCCAACTGCAACATCACCAGCCAACCCATGCCATGTCTCCACTAACACCAAAACATCCATACCACCGTAAATCAATTCATAAATACTATCAACTTTCCCAACCAATGACCTAATATTTAATAAACCAAAAATCACAAAATCATTTGAGATGCCATAATTATCTTTATGCTTTAAGTTACAATTATTAAAAACCAATGTACTTATATTCGATCTAGCGCCCAATCTACCACCTATTATTGCTATATCTTTCCAGCTGGTATTTTCACAACCCGCCACTTTCCCACATCTCCTCGAACTTTGAACAAAAAATCCCCTTTACTATCAACAGTCTTTTTCTGAGCCTCCTCAAGGAATTTTTTTAATTGATTTCTTTGTTCTCTGGTAAGATCATGACTTAACCTTACCTGTGCGAGATCATCACCAATTGTTTTCATTTTACCTATATTTTTAAAAAGTAAATCCTTGAGTCTTAAATCATCAAATTTTAGCAATATTGGTCTAATGACATGTTCACTTCTTTTACCAATTCTTATTAATTTTATGACATTCTTGTCAGTTATAACACCGTCAGAAAGGTGGTTAAGGATCTTCAAAACGTGTTTTTTGTCAGCATCACTTTCTTTCAAGCGGAAGATCATCATATTATTCTCGCGTTCCTTTTGTTCAGCCGATTCGTTTAATGTTTCTTGCAAACATTTAACCTCTGTATTTATCACATCAACATTTTTCTTTACCTCGATATTTATTACATCGATGTTTTTTTTCACTTCACGACTGACGACCTCAGACCAGGAAGATTTTAATTCAGTTTTGAAATTTTTCATTTCATCGCATAATTCTACTCTTGATTTTTCTAACGTACGCAATTCATTATTATCTTCAGCAACAAGTTTCACTTTGAAATCATTAATTTCGGACTTCATGCTTTCTTTCATTTTATGTAATTTACTTATCTCTTTAAGCAAAACTTTATTATTTTCATCAAAATTCTTTACCAGTTGCTCTACGGATGGCAAGGAATCAATGCAATTATCACATTTAAAGATTAAGTTGCGACATTTCTTTATGAAGTCATAATCTTCACTTGTCATCGACAAACATTTGTAACGAAATGATTCTCCACATTGAGCACATCGCAAACCTGAACAAAGTTCGTGATAAATCAATTCACACAGTTTACATTGCTGACAGTCTTTATTAGTAGTGTTTTTACATTTACATTTGTCTCGGGTACCCATAATGTACGTACACAAAAACAACAACACAGGTAAACCTATTAATTGAACTAGTTTTCAAAACAATGCAGATAAACTTATCCTCGTCAACGAATTACAGACAAGCAAACAAGGTCAAAATTTAAGTAAAATTTTCCAATTATAATTTAGTTTTTAATTCACTAAATTAACCGAATTTAAAACTAATTAAAAAAAAACTTATAGAAAAATAACGAACTTCAACAAATTTAAAGCAACTTAAAATTACTTTGAAACAAAAATAACGCCAGAAAACCGCAAATTAACTCAAGTTTGTTATGAAATACAAGAACCACCACTCGCACAGAAAATTATGTATGTATATATATATATATATATATATATATATATATATATATATATATATATATATATATATATATATATATATTGGTAATAGACCATAATTTTTACAATATTCTATAAATTCTACCGAATGTTTGGCGTTAATATGTTTGTAGTTCGTTTTTTCGATTTTTCTCACTAAAGTTTTTTGGTGAACGTTTAGTTTATTAAAATTCAAATTCCTTCATTTTCGAATTCATGCTGCAAATAAGGCCATATTTCGATTCCGAATGAATCATCATCAGTGCTCCTGCTGTATATATAGGGAAATATTGACTTTGTCAAGATGAACTTTGACGTTGTAAAAATTAACTTTGGTGTTGTAAAATTGAACTTTGATGCGAATTAGGTGTCAGGTTTCTTTATTGGCTGGTCATCTTCTTTGGTCTCTTTTTCTTCATCGATAGCATCATATTCTTCTTTGTCACTATTTACGATGCTAGTTTTTATTACTTCTTTGTTTTCGTTGTTGGTTAAGCGCCGGGTTGGAAGTGGAAGGTTGACGTCTCACCTAATACTGAAAAACAACTGCAGTCCTAAAGATAACTCTGAGTTAAAGCGTAATCACGTAATATATGAATTTAATTGCCCCTTTGACGGCTGTGCACGTCAACATGACTCATATATCGGGATTACTACTACCTCACTGACTAGAAGGCTTACGATGCATAAACAGAGTGGTGCTATCAAATCTCATTTGGACTCAACACACTCAATCACAATTAGCCGTGAAATCCTCGACAGCAACACCAAAGTAATATACCAGAACAGCAACTACACGCATCTTAAAATTGCAGAAGCAGTCCTAATTGACATCAATAAACCAAAAATAAATACACAACAAAAAATGACAACCTCACTTCCAACCCGGCGCTTAATTGTCAATTTTGTCACGTCGTCTCACCATGCACCTACACACGGTGCAGTTCTTGACCACTTTCGTCCCGCACACGCTACAACTTTCACACGTTAAATATTAGACTAGACAACACAACCATTACTGACAGAGAACCCAATTTCGTCAAACTGAACATTAAAAGAGCTCTTCACATGCCCCAAAATTACGTCGTAAACCCTGCCAACACTCTTGATAGATTTTCAACTTACCGTGAAACATGAAAATAAAATTGTTGTACAGAAAGATATAATGGTTACTTGCTCCGGGAACCGATGAGCGGTGAACAGGGAGAGAGGTTCCAAAGGGACATGCGGGAAATTGAAATCAGGTATCAGGCAAGATGGGATTCAGTGATGATAGCGGATTACTGTTGAACTCTAAAGAGGAATATCCCTGGTGTTGTACATGCTAGGCTTTCTGGGAAACGAAAGTTTTCATCCCGAATTTATGTTTTATTTTTATGTATCTATATAATATGATCAACATATGTCACATGTAATCAATGTACCGTTTTGTACAATCATTTTATTTCTGATGGGAGCTATTGTAAAAAATCAACCGATTAATGTTGCAAAAATGCATTGGTTTTACACGCCAAACAGTCCTTATTTGAAATCATCTTTGCGTAAAAAATTGAACAACTCTAAAGAAACTATCATCGTTTTCGAACTCAGTGACGTCAAAGTATCCTAAATTAGTTGAGATAACCTAGACCTTTTTCCAAAAATTTTTTATGGTTAATTTTTTTTTTGTTTCTATTTGAATGATGTGATAAGTGATAATGGTGATAAGTAAATTTTCGTTTTCAGGCAATGTCTTTTATTTTATTAACATTCACCACAACACGCAAAAAGTGAATTACAAAAAAAAATTGCACAAAAAATAAAAATTTAAGTTTATGTATTGAATTTAATTATGTTTAAAATACATTAAAAAGACAATCAACGACATTAGGAGCCTTTAATTAACTCGGCGTGTCAGTCAGTGACCGATAATGTGCTTCATCTTTCTCCTGCTTGTCTATCTGGTTGTCTGTCTATCTGGTTGTCTGTCTATCTGTTTGTCTGTCTATCTGGTTGCCTGTCTATCTGTTTGTCTGTTTTTATGTTTGTCTGTTTTTATGTTTGTCTGTCTATCTGTTTATTTGCTTTTTGTATTTGTCTGTCTAACCTTGTCTGTCTGCTTGGAAGAATTTAATTGTATTCGCAAATGTGTTGATTATGTTTGCTAATATGTGGGTGGGCTCAGTGGTAGATCCGAAGATGATGTTGAAATGTGTTTCTATGTATTTGTGTGCATGTGTTTGTATTGTTTGTAATCTTGTATGCTCGTTGGACGCACGTGTAACCGTCTGTTTGCATTTGTATGTGTTTGCGTACTTGTGCGTGAGCGAGTGTATGCGTGACGTGATTGTGTTTGTTTGTCTATATGCTTGTTTGTGTTATTATGTGTACTTATGTATGCGGCTGCGCTTTCCGTATGATTTTGCATTATATTTGCATTTTCATAGATCTTTTCAATTAGTTGAGCTATGCACGTAATCTAGGTTGAAGTTCGGAGGAATCAGCAACACACAAACGTCCTATATGAATGCGTGCCAAACGATGCATCACATACAAAGCATGGGATAGGCGGGGATCGAACCTGGTTACTGCACGCATTGCGATATAGGACCAGGCGCATTACACCAGTAAGCCATCACGCCGCCCGAGCAAACTTCATGGTAATTTTAATCTCAAATAAAATCGTTATAAAAAAACAAGTGCACACTTTCTCACACTATTGGAAACTAACAAATTGAGGCTGGAGGAACTTTTTAAGTACTTTTCTTGCTATGCAAACTAAACAAACGTTCTTAAACTTATTCAGAAATTATTTATTAAAAGGAATATCATAGAATTACTTGCACATAAGAAGCATGAAAACCTACACAATATACACGTTCCTTTTCAACATTTACATCTGGTCCATCTGGTACATCTGGTCCATCTAAACCCACGCGTTAGAAGCAGTCACATATAAATAAAGTCGATGGTTTTTGAACAATTTTCAAAAACATTTAACACCTCACGACAAGGTGTTTTCTTGTGAGTGCGTGCAAAAATGCACGTGTAGGTACTGTGTGTGTCGGTGCGCTTTACCATACCCATTGTGGCTTGGAGCAGAGAAAGAAACAAATTTTAAGCAGTTTATCGGAGCTACTTAATGAACACATTTTACCTGAGCTACAAAATTTAATCAAAGTTTAAAAGCAATCAAGTAATTATGCATTCTCAAATAAATATACGATAAATAAAATGATGGCTCTTGATTGTTTGCAAGTAAAAGGTTAGTAGGTCGTCTGCTTGGGTTGCAGCAGGGAGACAATAATATTTCATTGCATTTGTTTGTTTGTTCAACTTTTCCGAAATAAAAAAGTGTAAGTGCATTTGTGATATAATCTCAATGACCAAGTAATGATGTAATGATTCTTTTGCTCTATTTCTTTTCCATCCGACGTTAAAAATTGCTGCTGAATTTATTTTAAAATTATTTTAAGAATCAGTTTTGATCATTTCCCCCTTTCTTACATTCCTCAGTATTTATTAATGAATTTTTAAATTTTACAACGCTTTTGAAAAGGTAATGCAAATGATGGCGTTGATGAAAATAAAAGCGAAATTAACAATCAATTAATGTTTGCGATGATGTCATTATATAGTTTAAAGTTTGGTCCATTATTAAAAATTTATAACGCTGAAGAAAAAACAGTCACTTTGTTGATTTAATCTAATTATTACCAAAAAAAATATCAGCCGTCATAAAGCAACTTTGTTGTATCTGTTGCCCAAATGTCTGCATAGTCAAAAATTATAGGTATAGGTTGAAATTTTTGAAAGATGAAAACTGGGTAAAAAGATTTAAAAATACATCATTATAACTTCATTACATAATAATAACTTCACTTTTTCATTTACGTTTATAAACTTTATTTCCACATTGTTTGACCCCATTTTATTTGTTTGATAAGTTTTGGGATGTGTAAGAGCCTCTTGACTGATGATAAGTGTTCAAAACTGATTATAATAGTATAATTAGTTCAATTGAAGCAACATAGGAGCAATGATCTCTTGTTATTAATATTGGTCTTGTTTTGTTATCAACAATTACAAAAATAAGTTTATCTCAAAACGACCAAAAGAAGAACAGTAAATATGAGCATCCAACATCATCCCAAACAAATATCCAACACTATTCCACACGAAGATGCATCCAGTCCAAACTAAACAACCAACCAACCAACAGAAATGCAAAAAATACAACAGACAACAGAACAAAGTAAGCACAAACAACGGCAAGAAAATTAATAACATAACTCAACGATAACATTTAAAACTCCCAGCCAGCAACATGAAACAACACATATTCATCAAACAGCCCAACCCAACACAACATGCATATTGCAAACAACATCACAAGAGCACGAGTAACGAAGGAAGTACACACGACCCTAGATTATTATACTTGCGTTGCATTAGTTGAGTTCTTAGATTTATCAATAAAACACATTCACACATTCATTCAGTGTAACATACTAACATACATCTCTCTCTCTCTCTCTCTCTCTCTCTCTCTCTCTCTCTCTCTCTCTCTCTACCTACCTATACCTACCTTACCTACCTACCTACCTACCCACCTACACCTACCTACCTATCTACCTACCCACCTACCTACCTACCTACCCACCTACCTACCTACCTAC